CCCTATATATATATATATATATATATATATATATATATATATATATATATAAAAGCATGCACTTTTATTCTTATAAAAGAAGTAGAAATGTGATGATCAACTTTAGGTTGTTTCTTTTTGTTTTAAACAAATACCGGATTTAGATATAGTTTTGAGAAAGAAAACATATTTGTATTCTGGAGTTTAACGTCTATGAAAGGAAAGTTGAGGGGGGTAAATAGAAAATAGAAGAAAGGTCCAAAAAGGAACAGTAATCGTGGCCAGGTACAGTTTAGACTACGTTTTAACATGACACGTGGCGCAACCCCACATGAGAAGACTTGCAGAACAAAAAGAGCTGATACAGTTTTCACATGAAGGGTTTTTTGGTGACCTAATTATGCTATAAACCCCACCTCATCAAAATCAACGGTACATATCACAATTTTCCAACATTTTATTAATTATTAATTAAAAACATATATTTTTATTTTATTTAATAAATCATAATTAATAATTAAACATGTAATTATATAAAAGACAGCTATCAAGATTTTTATATTATAAATTTATAATTCAAAAAGGCATAGATCCTGACCCTTCATTTCATAATCAACGAAGCAGCAAAATTTAATTTTTAATAGAAAAAGAAAAGAAAAAAGAGAAAGTTCCCTCATTTTTTTTTTTAATGGTAGATAATAATATTATAATAATGGAAAATGGAAAATGGAAAGCGGTTATCTATGGCTGATCTTCCTGTACATTAGACCTTAGTCGCTTGGGCTGGCTAACATGGTCGCCGGAGGACGGTGGAGGGTTGTCGGAATGGGTGTCGCAGCTGACGCAAGTGGCTGCATCCAGCACACCGTCGGGGCTCAACCGTGGCTGTTCAGATCTCCATTGCTTTCTGACCTTATGATCGGCTGATGGGCACGTGTCCACCAAGTACTCCTCCATGAGTTGATGACAGCTTCTCACCATTTCCTGTACAATTTAATAATTAAATCCATCAATTTTCACAGCTTTTCATGCTTCGAATTTCACGCTTTTTGACAAAAAGTGATGATTTATGCATGTTTGATTAGGAAAATACAAAGAAAATCACGAATGAATACTTTGTTTACTTTCTCGTAGTAATTCTCCGGTACATCCACTCCTTCGCCGGCGGCGGAAATCACCGCCGCCGCTGCAATCACAGACGGCCGGAACTTCAAAAAATCGATTACTGCACCTCCCACATTCATAAACACATTCAGAATTTAAAATGAAATAACATATATCCAGCGATTAAGAATCAACCCATCGGGTCAGGTCGGGTCTTGGGTTTACCGCGGATAGTGTTGATGATGAGATCCGAACATTTCGAATGGAATTGGAGTTGGTTGGTATGAGATGAAGGTGGGAGCTTGAAGATGAAATAATGGAGGAAATCAAAAGGAGTGATGGATCGAAGCCTCCAATTGAGTTTGGCCATGACACAGAGCTCCATTCTCTGAACCGTTTTTGGTTCGAATACAAAACGGGGCTCCGAGACTTGGAGATCTAAAAGCAAAGGTACCTCAGGCTCCTCCATTTTAGCAGCCAATGATAAACACGCCACCGATAACAACTGAGACGCCCATCCATTACTCTCCTGTTTTCACAAATCCAGTCGTCATCGTCGTATATAGCTACATAATAGATTGTACGTATAGGTTTATATATATATATATATACCGGGAAAAAGGCAGCGGCGGAGGAGAGGAACCGGTCGAAGTAGTTGACGGAAAGAATGGCGGTTATTGGTTGAAAGTGATAATGCGCGTGAGCCTGCATTCAATTGAATCGATTATATTTCATTTATGCATGTGTATGGAGAGAGAGAGAGAGAGAGAGAGAGAGAGAGAGAGAGAGAGAGATAAGCAAAACATACATTGAGAATCCAGTTGATGGAATCTTGACGGTGGATGAGGTGGAGGGAGCGGAGGAGATAGTCAGGAAGTGGAGAGCGAAGAGGTTCTGCAGCGATGAGTGAGTCGATAATGACATCTTGGATCGGTGGGTTGACGGCGGCGGAAAGAAAGATACTAGAGGCAGAGTGGTCGGACATGGTGAACAGTTGTAAAGAGGGAAACAGCAGCTAAGGTGTAGAGAAAGGAGACGGTGGTGGTGGTGAGGACAAAGACAGCATTGGTGGTGGCGGGTGGTGGTGGTGCGGTGGTGGTGGTGGTGGAACACATGGCTTATGGTTTGGGGAACGACATGTTTTTAATAATCTCTGTTTGTGTCTGCGTGTTTAAGATGGGAGTGAAAAAGATGTTAGTGGTGTGAAGATGGATCGAAGGGCGGGTGTATTGGAAACGGGAAGGACTATGGTATGAAGCCTGTGATGCCATGTATAGGAAAGAATCCGGCTTCATCTTTCTATTTAGGCTCGCTCTTGGGTTTCGTGTATTGACTAGTCAACTATACCCCTGGTATTATTTTTGGACCCGTTCACATTATTGGGTATATCATTCACAATAACTCTTTCTATTTATTGCAATTTCATGAAATAATTAATACCCCATTATTTAATATTATATTATATTATTCAAAGCCCATGAGCTATTAAAATCATTAAAAGTTGGTTAAATAGATTAACTTTTTAGTAAATCATGGATTCGGATTTTATTTTATATATTATTTTTTCCTTATAATTAAAAATAAAAACTATAGGAATATTGTTCATTTGGAGTTGTAAACGAATCGTTAATGGGTATATATATTTTTTTAACATGAATAATGGTATCGCTCGTTCATTTTGTGGATATATATATATATATATATATATGAGTCTATTAAATGAGAACTAATTAGTTTGTGTTAATATTGAGATCCAATCTCAACTACAAGTCAATAAATAAATTAGAAAATTTATGATTTTGTTAATTTTGAATTAAAATTTTAATATAAGGACATTTTAGGTATATTTTCTCCTCTTTCCTCTCTTCTCTTTCCGTCCCCCGGCCTTCGTCCTCCGGTGATACCATAGTGGTATCACAATGCATCTTATATGTGCTTGGATATCACACTGAGGTCGTTTGTGTGGTCGATCAAAGATGTAACACAATGTATCACAATGCATCTTACATGTGTTTGAGTATCACCCTGTGTCTTTTGTTTAACTGAGTCAAAAAATTTAGATATCACAGTGGTATCACCGGAGGACGGTGGCCGGAGAGAGATGAGAGAAAATACCTATAATGTTCTTGCATTAAAATTTTTATTCAAAATTACTAAAATTATAAATTTCATAATGTATCTATTCATTTGTGGTTGGAATTGGATCTTACGGTTACCACAAACTAGTCAGTTCTCCCTTGAATGAGCCTATATATATATATATATATATATATATATATATATATATATATANTATATATATATATATATATATATAGGGTTGGGTTCACGTGAGACCAATGGTTTTTTGTGAGACCCGTAAGACCAATGTATGTTCATTGATCAACTTTATAAGCATATAATCTAATGGTCTAAAGTAGCATGGTGGCAATTTTGTAATTATTGAGAAGTCTCGTGGCATTTATGAATGTTCAGATCTGACGATTATAGATCTAATCCAAATGTTGAGAATTGGTCTTACATGTCTCACGAAAAACTATTGGTCTCACATGATCCCAAGTCTATATAGGGTTGGGTTCACATGAGACCAAAAGTTTTTCGTGAGACCTGTAAGACCAATTTATGTTCATTGATCAACTTTATAAGTTAATGATCTAATTGTCTAAAGTTGTACGGTGACAATTTCGTGATTATTGAGATTTGAAAAGTCTCATGGCAATTTTGTAATTATGAATGTTCAGATTGTAGATCTAAATCCAAGGGTTGAGAACTGGTCTCAGGGATCTCACGAAAAACTCTTGATCTCACATGATCTCAAGTCTATATATATATATATATATATATATATATATATATATAGAGAGAGAGAGAGAGAGAGTACTCTTCTTTTGTGAATCATTCAAGTGTTGCAAATCGTAAATAAAGACATTTTTGTCCTTTTAACGGAATCACATTTTAAGGATAATCATCTTCCTTAAATATCTTGCAAGATACCATTTTTTTAAAAAGCAACATAAAAATAAAAATAAAACCAAATGGTACAACACTACGCATCAAAACCTACTGCAAAATGCAACAGGGAGATCGAAACATACAAAAAAGAAGAAAAACAGAAGCGAAGGAAGCAACATTAGTTCTCGAAAAACCCTATTAACAAAAAGCACAATCTAAACCGAAAAAATGTAAATATGGTGTTGTCATGAAAACTACGGTGGAAAAAGTAGAATTGGTTTTTTGATCCACGTCCCCACGAAATGGACCCTTTTTGAGACGTCTGGATACCCACTCGAAAACTCATACTTGGATCTTGACAAATAGAATATTAATAGGAACCGATGTTTTTCTTTTTGAAGATTGTGCCATTACGATGACTTCAAATCAGGAACCAAGTGGCCCAATAGGTCTACAGACAACCAAGGTGAGGAGATATCGCCCCCTCGATAGCTCAAACTTTCTAAAGTCGAGTCTCCTAAATTAGTGTTGATGCCCCACCATTGACAAAAACGTGTCCCAAATCTGTTTTGCAAATCACCAAGGAGTATTTAACGGATTTATTTCTTAAAATCTCATTTGGTTGAACTGCATCTAGTGTTGTTTGTGATGGTCAACGACGGTCGAGGGGGTGAGGAAGATGGCCGGCGAGGAGGTGATGAAGACCATCCGATCAACGTGGAAGTGGTGGAGGGTGATAGGTTAAAGATTGAGGAGATAATCATGGAAAGATTTGTAGTCGAAAATAAAATAATCATGAAATTAATTCAAATTTAATTTTTTAAAAATGTCTTCCAGAATTACCCTTTTCTTGATTTTTTATCGTCTAAAATTAAAAATTCCCGTCAATCCACACCAACAGTTGATAAAAACAGGACGATATAGATGGGTTTGAACAGTTTCTAGTCTTTGAACGGTTTCCAATGATTTGTCCTCTATTTATATATCATGACATAAGTACGTAAAATTATTAATTAGATTATCTATACTATATTATAAATCATTTGACAAAAACTCTTAAAAACCATTTTTTATGCACGAAGTACTGTTTATTGATGCATATTACTTAAAATTCAAGATTACAAATAAATTATATGTAAGTACAACTTATTAAAGTTTCATTATTGAATTCGTGCAACTAACTGCAGATAAACATAATCTTAGAGGATAAACATCTCATTTTAATTATAAAATATCAAAAATATAATTAGAAAAATTATTGAGTTCTAACAGAATACTTAGTTATTATCTTAAAAAATATTTTATTAAATCAAAAATAAATTAATTCGTTTTTAAATTTCAATTAAATTATAATAAAAAAAAGTAATTAAAGAAATTACACAAAAACGATAACTTTTAGATAGTTAATTTGATATTAATATCGCTTATTTTTTTCAACATTTTATAATATCTTCAAATTTATATTTCATTCAAAATAAAAATATTTTTTTTTCTCAAAACCACATAAAATCGCATTATAACATCGATAGACCCAAAATAGAAAACGAAAGATTAGAATCAAAATGTACATCACTGCATTGTGCGTGTACCCTTTTAGTATTTTTATAATTGTTTTTTTTATCTGTTCTAAGTTTAGCCGGTTTTTTATTTTGTTATGTTAGTTTTGCGGAACGAAATGATGAGTAATGAGTAATTTTATGTTTGTACGTTAAGAAAATGTGTTTTTTCTTGTTAATTTATGTTCGTTTGTTTACGTTCATTTAACATCTTAACGAACAAATACATTTTCTTAATGCACTAACATAAACACAAAAAATTACGTTCTTTAACGTTTGTTTATTTGGTTAAGTTAAATAAACGGACATGAACAAGCTTCCATTCATATTCGTTCTGTTCGTTTACGGTCCTATTTTCATTAACAATGATTAACTTTCAGTCATTAAATCTCAAGTTTTGTTTTTCTTTAAACCTCTTATTCTTCACTTACGTCTTACCAGATAAGATGTTAGACTTCTAAAATTATTTGTTTATTTTATGTCGTAAGGCTATAAGAGCTTAAAAATCTTATTGTCCTCTTATTGGACAAGAGGTAAAACCATGTTTTATTAGTCTCTTTACGCTTACCCGGTAAGCACTTACCGGATGAACACGACAAATGTCAAGAATCTTACCGGGTAAGAGCGATGATGGAGATGGAGAGTCTTACTCGGTAAGTGAGGGTAACGACTCTTACCTAGTAAGCGTTTGTTATGTAAATTGTTGCATAAGATACCATTTTGTTGGACTACAATTTTACCAGGTGAATAAGTTACAATGTTGGTTCTTACTTGTAAACGATTACCAGGTAGGTGTTTGGGTAAACGACCCTTTAATGTTCTTTTTTTTTCCTCTAAAACAAAATTAAGAATTTTGAAAAAAGAAATAAAAAATTTGGAACTCTAAAAAACAAGAGGCTGAATTTAATAAGACGCACAAGTCACAACTTATTTGATCAGATATACTTAATTATTTGTTAGTGGCTTAATGATATATAAAATGACTTATTTAGTAAACTTTTAAGAGAAGTTTTATGCAGAAAGTCAAAGTTTTTCCAAACCAGACCCTTCCAATTAAAAAACATGATACTTCTATCTATGAAAAAAATTTCCCAAACAAACACCTTCCAAATTTATGTAGACAGATTAATCCACACAAACAACTTTATTCATACATAACTTAATGGAAAACCAACCAAATAGCCCCTAAGATGTATAGGTCTCAATAGCACAAAACTTAGTACCCTTAACATTTTATATTTTGTTCTAAATTATAATATTAAGTATGATAAGTTTAAATGTTTAATTAGCATTTCTATTTTTTATTTGCTGGTAATACTTTATTAATATCATACTTTTGATCCATGTTACACATTCCGACATTTATCAGTTTATAAAAACAAACAATCTTATTAATTCTACTGTCAGATATTCAGCACTATCTCTTATCAATAAAAAGTGAAATAAAACTTTAAACTTCAACACCTATTAAAAAATAAAAATCACCTCAAGGCGTCTTGAACATAAGGGTAAAATAGTTATTTTATATGCCATCAAAAAAGATCTTCCTTCCTGAAACCATCGCTCACCTCAATCCTCTTCTTTCCCTCTCATCGTGTATCACTACCAACAAGGATTTGAACATCCATAGCCACAAGGGAATTTTTATTCCTCCTTGGGTTTCAACCTGGGACCTCCTGATACTTTTGACCTTTGGAGCCAAGCTCAAACCAATCAGACAATCCTTTAGTGCCTCATTGATAAAAACATGTTGAAAGCTCTAACCTCAATGTCGACATTAAAGAACCACCAAAGAAGGTGTGGCCTCTATAATTCATCGGTTCCAGATTCAAGTTAATTTATACGAGCGTGCACTCCACACCTCCTAAGAACACAACTGGGGTATCAAATCTTGTACATTCTTATCATATTAAGAAGACAACTTGGTCCCCATGACTTAAGAGGGATAGCCAGAGGAATAGATGCATGTTTATTACAAGATAGTAGTGTCATATTCACAATAAGACAAGCCTGCAAATGGGCTAAATGCATACAAGCTAAGGCAGCCATTAAAGTGAGGGAAAGTACTTGGAAAGACCATAAGGAAGTGAATAGAATTCAGCACTTCTTGCATCTCTTTCAAAATACTTGAACTTTCCCCACCAATGTCTCCCACCATCTCTCCGAACATCTTTGTGGCCGTAACCAAGAGTCCGGTCCAGAAAMATGCTAACAATGGCCGCCACTGTTGGCGGAGATGTGAATATCACCAGCATCAGTTCGTTGAACTGCACAAATCAGGATACCAGATATAAGTTTAATTCTCGAAAGTAACTAAACAAAACCAACAAGCCTAATATATCCCACCCGTAGGTGGGGTACCTGACCTCCACCCAAAGAGTAGAGCAGTTGATTCTATAAAGATCTTTGGCTTGTGCAAGCAAAAAAGGGGTAAAGATGGTTCAAAAAAATTTGCATAAAAAGAGCACTCGAAAAAAGAACTTGAAAACAAGAAATGAAGTACTAAAATTTGGAAAACGAGTTAGAAGTAAGCAACCAAAATCAAAATCAAATAAACGCAGTTATGATATTTGTATGTACCCAAGTGGATCTACTGCGAACAGGGCCTTGCCCAGTTGTAACCACGTAGCCATTGAAGTATTGTGGCACAGAAAGACCCATGAAGAGCGAGAAACCGAGGATGAACTTKGTTCTGTAACTGTTAAGGTTGCAGTATTGAAGTAACCCTAGACCAGCAGAAGCTGTGCAAAACCATAATCAATCAAGAAATCAAAGTGAATTACTTGTGTCTMATAAAGATCAAGGATTATGCTTACACATGTAGGCAAATAAGACGCAGTACAAAGCTCCAATGATCGGTAAAGGTATAGAAGCTACAATTGCTCCAAACTTGCCTGGTTAAAATCAACAGAAAAATGGTAAAAGTGTTGTTTCATAAACGAATAACAAGTGATTTGCTCATTAGATACCAAGAACATGATAAAGATGATTACAGAGAAACACACCTAAAATAGAAAAGAAGAACATGAAGCCTGCAGACATCTGAACCACTCGTCTGCTTCCCACTTTCGTTACAGCTAGAAGGCCAACGTTTTCACTATGCACAAACGCCACCAAAGAAACATCATTAACAGCCGAGAAGGAAAGAAGAAGATGTAATCAGTGTGAAAATATTTAGTTGATTTTATACACCGATGCCGTTGAGCCAGTTCCTGTACCCCATAATCCATCCATCAAAATACCAATTCCCTGTAAGATTTTGTCCAAAGAGATTAAACACATCTAATGTCATCTAGGAACGATATCAATGACTAATAACATGATCACTTCTCACCAGCCAAGCAGCACCCCGGCTTAGAACAGAAGACGGTACATGTGTTGCACTCCCATATCTTGCAGCCGCAATAAATGTGCCTGTTGACTGTAACCGGAACTTTAAGTTATTATTTACGAAATGGGATTATGCAGTTGCTATAATATTATATACAGACCTCGATAAGAGACACAAAAGCAGCTGCCAGCATTACAAAAGCATCACCAGCATGAATAGTAGGACGACCCCATTGTAATGGATACGGAAACTTTATCCTGAAACAAGTCATTCATGAATTCAAAGAAAAGTCAAAGAAAACCTCGAGGAAAGCTTAAGAAAGGATATTCGTAAATTATGCATGAAAACTTTTCTGAAAGTCAAATCTATTATTTTCCAGATTCAAATTTATTTGAATGCTTGTGTGTTTGTAGCACCAAACGGTTCTTTGTAGTTATAATACATCTTGTACGGTTTTAATGTAGTCATCATCTTCTTTCTTCAACAATTGCAAAACTGAAAAGTAGTTCGTTGACTTCCAAAAGCAAGACACCATTTTCCTGTTGTCATTTTGGTTGCTGAATGGAAGTCAATTAAGGTGGCATGGCTCACCATGAAGCACCGCTTACTAGACCAGAGCGATCCACACGGCAGCTGAATTGAGTGTTAGGAGGTCTAGTTTTATATGCACCAGCTGCTGTAAGAAGCGATGCATATGCCCATACAGTTGCTATAGAGATAATGACGGCAAATCGATCAAGCCATTTTGATTTCCACCAGTAAGGGACATACTGCAAAATAAGAGCAAATCAATCATACCGGTTCTGAATACAAATTGTATTTTGCAGTCAGATTTCACATGATTCTACTTTCTTTATGAGCTTCAAACGCTACAACATAATCTGCTTTATAGGACGACAAATATGTCTAAATATCCTAATAGACTTGCTTTATAAGACTTAAGTTCATGGAACCAATTGAACAGTTGTGCGCCCTATATAAATGTGTTACCCTAGGATGCATTTGGGAATCCTTACAAGTTTTAAAAGAAGGTGCCATATTGAAACACTCGTTAGAACGTCCAAAACGTCTTATCAACTATTGTAACACCTTTAAGTAGGACACACAATTGTTTGGTCTTATAAATGTAACTCCTATAAAGTAGTCTATTAAGACATTTAGACATATTTGGTGTCCTATAAAGCCGATTTTGTTGTAGTTAAAAACTATGTTATTCGTTGTATTATCAACAATCCATAGATAACTAAAGACAGCATATAAATCAAGAAATTAAACTCACCTGAGAAAATAAAACTAGCATAATTAACTCCGGAAGCCCAATCTCGACGCATTCTGCCAACTACAAAAGGCATCAAGAGACTGTATCTGTTAAATAGAACTTACATGTGGTGACACAATGTGTCTCAATAAGAAACAATGGTGATTCATGTATTCCATCTAGAGGTGGCAATGGGTCAGGTTGGGTTCGGGTTCAACCCATTTATTGAATAGGTTGAAAATCTCAACCCAAATTAACCCATTTAAATGGGTTGGGATTTTTCAACTCAGTCCAACCTGTTACCTAAATGGGTTGATAACGAGTTGACCTCTTTACGATTTTCTTAACCCAAACCTGTTAAATAAATGGGTTGACCCATTTGATTTTAAAATTTTATATAAAAAAAGGATTAGACCGTTTAATTTTTTTTTGAAATAAAACACAACCACAAATACAAACAAATTGTTCAAAGTTTGTATAAAACACAAACACAACAAATATATTGTTCAAAATAAGTTGGATTAGACTTTTTAATTTGTAAAGATTGACCAATTAGTTGAGCATCTTGTTTCATCCTAAACTAAAGTTACTTTACAATTTTGAAATGGGAAAATGTACTTCCATCATACCCACATCAATTTCAACAATACTGGCCAAAAAGAGTTAGGATATTGAAAATAAATGTTGTAAATTGTTATCAACAAAAAGGATGTTAGGCATGAATCCAATGGTTGAAACTGGAAATGACAATGTTTGAGTTTAAATTCTGAATTTTCCCCAATTCGAGATACAAGCAATTGGATTCGGGTATCAAAACAATTCGTTGATTGAAATCAACAACAAAAAGTTGAGTAGAATTTTGGATCATAGAGCTCGTGGTTTCGAATTGAACTGGAAACATTATAGTTCACGAACAAAATTGGCTCCGATTTCAAACCCGAGCAATGGAATTCGAATTTCCAGAACAAGCCCTAAACGGAGTAGAGTAAGTATTTTACTTACGAGTGGAAATCCTTGAGCATAGAGACCAAGCCCGAGAAGGGTGACCATAGGAACGGCAGATAGGGGGCTTAGGAACCTACAATCATCGAACAAATCCCAAATTCAGTGAAACCATCTCTCATTTCACTGGTTATAACTCCTATCACTTGTAGAGTCATGACCTTGAATTCAGTTTTGATTCCGAATATAAACTAGTGACAAGTGATTCAATAGTTCAAATTCATCTTGTTGGTATAGCAAATTCAATTTCATAAGTAGCATTTGGATGTGTTCTTGGGTGATGCTAGCAGGTATAATCCATATATGATATAACCAAAAAGATGGAGCTAAAGACTTGGGATGTTTGGGGATGGTTTATAAAAACAATTTATTGACTTATTTCGGTATTATACCGATAATAAACACTTTTAAGTGTTTTGATAAACAGTTTATACCGGTGCCAAATCGGTAATAAGAAGTTTTTGAAAAAGTTAAATTATTCTAACTTATAATAAGTTAATAAGACTTTTGTAGAAAAACATAAGTTGTTTTAAATAAACAATCCCAAACACCCCCTTAATTCAGTCAAAACGTTGATTTAGGCCTTTAGGGGCTTACATGATAAATTTTTAAGAGGTAGAAAGAAATAAAAAATTTACCCGTTAAGAAACAAGACAAGTATCAAGAGTCTTCCCTCGTAAGTGAGGATGGTTGTTCTTATCCGGTAAGTATTTATCAGGTTACAGACATTTACCAACAATCTGTTTTGATAACCGAAAATGTTACCCGATAAGTTAAAGGTGGTCTTCTTGCCGATAAACACTTACCCGATAAACGTTTTGATAATTGGCCTCTTAATGTTTAGTTGAATCAAGGCTTAATTCAACAACGGGTATTATTATTGGTTAGATCTTAAGTTTATTCATATTATAATGGTTATGTTAATTTCAAATAATATGTTGCCAGTAGAACATAAAAAATACCTGGCAACAATTCTCCAGATACCGAGAAATCCAAATAAAATAGGAAGAATTGAAGAGATCATCAGCGCTCCTTGCATCCCCCGCATTGTTTGACGAAACCTCTGCAAATAATCTTAAATTTTTCAAAATTGATAACTATGATTTCATAAAATTCGAACAGTCATTTAAATGGTGTCTTAAAAAATGTAATTTTAAATATAAAAGATACATGTTAAAAACATTATTTTATACTTATTATTCATAACTAAACATAAAATCAATCAAAAAGTAAGAATAACGATTTAATTAACATAGGAACATACAATGTGGGGTTCAAAGTAGAAACTGTATCGTTGTGATAAAGCGATGTAGAGCATAGGAACGATGAATCTGAACGATCCTCCAATCACCACCGGAAGCCGTGTACCGAACCACGTTTGTAACAACGTGTTAATTCCAGCAACAAACAACATTGTTTGAATCAAATAAGCCTTTTCAACCTACACATCGAAAGACGTACGATAACATATTCATACTCAAAAAAATAATAATTTCAAACTAAATAAATTTAACCTCTTACATTACTCCCACCCATTGGAGGAACAATAATAGAAGATATAATAATTATGGTCCCAAGCATCACCAGATAATGCTGAAAAGCAAGAACAACAGCTTCGGCTGCATAAATCGGAAATAAAACTTATTCACAAACTACACGTTTGATAACAGCATTTGAGTTCTAAACAGACAAAGAAATAACGTACCCCAAGGAGGGTTGCTATTGACACAATATTCAACCCCGGGAAACTGATCTGTCACTGGATGCAGAACAAATATGTTATCTTTCGGTACCGTCATTTTGTATGCGTGTCTGTTCTAAATGAACTCCCGAGCTTAATAAGAAAAACTTGTGATGAGATGTTTTAAGACGATCTGAATCACGTACATACTGTACTGATGTCGTTAACTGTACGGAAAAGAGGAGAATTGAGACCGATGAACCACAAAGTTGAATTAATAGGGTAGCTTTTTATTTAAAATAGGTGTGTTGTGGTTGAAGTTAGGATGGATTTTTGTGTTTAGAACACAACCTAATCTCACCAACAATTGCTTACCTTCTTATGGTAAAACATTAGGTTATCCATCAAATGTTTAATAAATATTTTTAAGATTAGAAATATTTTAATTTACTTCACTTTACCTACTCCTCTGTGTAAGTTCTGTATGGATAAATTTGTCTGTCTGGATAAATGAATGTTGTTGTTTACTTTTTTTATCTGAACCAACAGTCTAAATAACATAAATGACCGATTTACCTCCAATATTAATTATTTGAACAACAATTATCAAGAACAAATTACATGAATATTTTGATTCCTAAAATTCTTCATGTCTCTCTCGGTCTCTCTTGATCCTCAAGTCTATCATCTCATATCTCTACTTTTTCTTCTTACCCCGATTCCTTCTACCGGCCCCTTTTCAACCCATACCTCCATCTTTTACTTGTAGCTGATCAAGGTTTTGCGTTTGTGACCATTGACGATCCCCAATCCCTTCTTGATATTTCAATTCTATAAAATATGTAATTTACAAATAATTCTAATAAAATAAATAAATATAAAATTAGTTTCAGATTTTAATATTAAGTTAGATGCTACAACATTCGTCACATCAGCATTGTAACCGATTAATGCTTAAATTGGTTACCTAGGTATTTAAATGTTTGAAACTTCATATCTTAAGTGTCAAAACGAATATTTTAGAAGTACATTACTTAAAATAAAAATCAAACCAAATTATATTACTTTTTCATGCAGTTTGTCTTTAGTTATATTATTAAAATATTGAGTACAATTTATAAGATATTATTTATCTCCTAAACATTTAATTTCAAGCAAGCACAATGGTAAAAAAATATTTCTTTCTCATATAAGTAATCATTTTTGGAGAGTTCTCCAAATTTGGAGATTTTTAAGAGGTATATATATATATATATATATATATATATATAG